AACTATACGTGCAGTAAAGGTTCTCTGTACATTCTCTAGCTCTGCAATTTCACCTGCCTTGCATGGGGATGTTAATGTACAGCAGTATTCCAGCCTAGAGAGAACAAGTGATTTAAAAAGGATCATCATTGGCTTAGCATCTCTTCTCTTGAAAGTTCTCATTATCCATCCTATCAGTTTCCTCGCAGATGTGGTAGTGTCACTATTTTGGTCCTTGAAGGTGAGGTCTTAGGACATTACTACACCCAGGTCCTTCACATTACTTTTCCACTCTATTGTGTGAATAGAGTTTGGAGTATACTCAGTCCTGGTTATTATTTCCTCAAGTTTTCCATAACGGAGTAGTTGGAATTTGCCTTCATTGAATAACATATTGCTCTCTGTTGCCTATTGGAAAACTTGGTTTATATCTTCTTGGAGCTTTGCCGTGTGCTCAATGGATGACACTCATGCAGATCCTAGTATCGATACAGTGCTATGGTTTACATCTCTGTCTATGTCTGATATGAGAATAAGGAACAGGATAGGTGCGAGTACTGTGCTTTGTGGTTCAGAGCTCTTCACTATAGCAGCATCTGATTTAACTCTGTTTTGGCCACTGTGTGGGCAAAACGTTGTCAGTAAAGGTTTGCATTATATTGCATTTGTGTATATTTTTCCACTTGAGTAAGCTATTAATAGAGCGAAACGTTGACCGATTTAAACCTTCTTACGTGGCGTGTGTCGTTTCTTCAATATTGTCGGTAATACGCTATTTGTGTAGCCTGTTATAAATGATAGACAATACCGACAGGTTGGTGAGTAAGCAACATCTGCAATACTGAGGTACGCTGCAGCAGTATAGATGATACCTTAGTGTTGCACATATGTCTTACTCATCACGCCATTTGGACCTGATATGCTAGTAAATAGCACCGTATAACATCACACTGCCCATCTCCTCTCCAAATCCCTCGCCAGAAAACTAATTACACATAATCATCTTTTACTCTGATAAATTCAAGGCTCTTCAACTCGAATACATTCTACTGATTGAAAACTTCTCTCAGAGATTATCTTTACTGATGGCTCTCTCAGATCTAGCAGTGGGAGGGCTGCTGGCGCACTCACTGTAATCAAGGTTCATGGTAATATAATACAGAGAAATGCTAGAAGTAATAATTGGACATCCAGATTACAAACCAAACTGTTTATCATAGTAATCACTCTCAAGCGTAGTGAAGATGCAACCATAGACACTTTAATTATCGCTGGCCATCCTTATTACTTGCTCTAAATAGACTGAGAAAATAATGCAAAACCTTACTTCTGAAGACAGGCACAGGTCTCTAGGAATTATAGATAGTCACTCTTACTAGGATCTCTTGAGTCCAGCGTGGGTAAGTCAGTGGTCGTTGCTGCTGTGACCTCCCCAGTGACAGTAAGATCATGAAGTCCAGAGTGGGTAAGCCAGAGGTCACTGCTGCCTTGGCCTCCCCACAGTGACACACCATGAAGGCCAGCGTGAGTAAGTCAGTGATCGGTCCTTGGATCATTTCAAATTAGAAGTGATCAAGGTCCAAGGAGCGAAATATTTTACATGAAGGTGTCCCAAGTGAGTACATTCGTGTACTTTTCATAGGCCTATGCTCTTCCTTTCGTAGATTTACGAGTACATGATGAAGTGGAGGCCGTGGCTTACCCTCTATTAACTACATACCGATATTAAAATAGTTTTAGGTGATCATTGAAAATCCAAAAAAACAAACAGATGAGTTTGAAAACAGTAGAAGACCGAACATAAGAATAAACAGATCAGTAGTTCGTCACAATAAAGAGCGTAAGTCTGGTGTGGAGAAAATAAATAATAAGTCGTAATACTCGGGGTGGGATATTATTATTATTATTATTATTATTATTATTATTATTATTATTATTATCATGGGGGAGCTTTAAACCCGTAGGATTATACAGCGCATGTGGGGGGATGGAAGGTATTCAGACTCAATTCAGGGAACTGGAGCACAGATCCAATTCCCTAGATCAAGATCCCGTCACCAGCGTCAAGGAACATCCCTTGAGAGGCTGGGATAATATATAATTTAATGCGCAGACTGGAGATGAAACTGGACAGCTTTTCGCTCTGTCCTGGAAAATGATCAAGTCACGACGTTTTCATCGCTCAAGAGGGATCAAAATGTTCTCCAGCTGTATCTCCAGTTATTGGGTTAGTTGTGTATGGGGGCAGTAACAAAGGTATTAGACTGCTAGATGCTGCGTCATTACTAGACGTGTGGCAAGTTGTATAAATCACTGGTAGAATATATCAACAGGTATATAACACATTATGCGCATTTATTGCATTTTATTGAGAAGAAGTTTCGTTCACCAGTGACTTGACTAATATTCACCGTCTGGGTGATTTGATACAGTTCCTGGTGAATGGAATATCTTAACACTCCATAAATCCGCATGTTGTGTCTTATTTACATGCTTAAGGTTATGCCAGAAACACCTTTCACGGTGTCTGACACATATGTTTTTCACACTTTTGTTTGTGTGTAAATCTCAGTCATATAACTTGAAAATCAGAACAGTAGGGTAGAAAAGTATAGTTGCTCAAGAATACAACCTACGCGAGACAGGTATATAAACAAACACTAGAGAAAATAACACATGCTGATGATAAGAAACCTGAAATATTGAGATTACATCAACATTGTGTATATGCATTTATATATATAATTTAGGACTTAGGCGAATGAACTATGAAGAAGTTGTAATATATATATAATGTCTCTTATCTGTTATATCATAAATTGTATTTATACACACACTGGGGTCTATTAACCTTTAATAACATTAGGATGGTAAACAGGCCAGTTTGCAGCGTACAAGTCCAGTTGTTAATTCAATTCAATTCAATTCAAGTTTATTCTCTATAAGGGTTACAATGTGGGGTTTTCAGGTTTTGGGTATTGTGTGGTTTACATGTTATAAAATACTAATTACAGAGGGGGCCACTAGGACACCTAGCATGGCTAGGCATTTCGGGCAGACTTAAATTAATTCTTAACATTAAATACTTGCAGATTATGGTATTAAGGCTAAGTGACTACATCATAATTTGTGAGTTTAGCAATGTGAATGCTTTTGTTTTGGCACAATACAAAGTGTCTATATTGGAGTATCATAGGCAAACTTATGACTAGTTAAGATTTATTATTTTAAGATTAAGATTAGTATTTCTGGGTTTATAGTCAGTGGGTGAGTGAGTGTAATTGTGAACCACCTGGTGGTTATCATGTAGTTAGTTGTCGGGGTGTATCAGGGAGATAAGATGTTTTCTAACTGTAGTTTTGAAAGTGATGAATGTGTCTGCAGTTCTAGAGTTTTCAGGTAGGGTGTTCCAGATTTTAGGTCCTTTTAAATACACTGAATTTTTGTAAAAGTTTAGTCGAACATGGGTAATGTCATAGAGATGTTTGTGTCTGGTGTTATGCCTGTGGATCCTGTCACAACTATGAAGAAAGCGTTTTAGCTCAAGGTTAATATTGGAATTTAAGGTCCTGTAGATATAGATTGCACAGCAGTAAGTGTGGATGTTCTGAACAGGGAGTAAGTTTAGATCTATGAAGAGTGGGGGGGGGGGGTGTTGCCAGGAATGGGATTTAGTGATTATTCTTACTGCGGCTTTTTGTTGGGTTATTATTGGCTTTAGGTGTGTTGTTGCAGTTGAACCCCAAGCATAGGTGAGGTATGGCTATATAAGTGAATGGTAAAGTGTGAGAAGGGCAGTTTGCGGCACGTAGTATCCTATCTTGGAGAGGATCCCCACCGTTTTGGATACTTTTTTTGTTATGTGTTGGATATGGGTGCTGAAATTTAGGTTGTTGTCGAGGTATAGGCCAAGGAATTTGCCCTCATTATGTCTGGCAATTAGAGTGTTGTCGATCTTAATGTTAAGTTGCGCAACACCTGCTCTGCTACTAAACATAATATAGTACTTCCAGCACGAGTTATTATTATTATTGTTTTATCATTATTATTTTTATTTTATTGTTTTTATTATTTTCACGAGGGATGTTGTGAAGCTACTGGGGTCACGTAGCGTCTGGGGTAGTGGAAGGCAGTCAGGTTCTGTCCAAGGAAGGGAAGGACAAGTTCAGTTCTTTTCATCAAGAACACTGCCTTCAGTAGACATGAGAGGGTGAGGTGCTTTTGTTGTCTACAACAATATGATTCACCTAGGGGAGGGGATTAGAATGGAATAATTTATGTCTTTTGTCTGTGACAGTGTTTCTTGGGTTTATTTCCTTACATTTTAACATCAAGTAGTTTTGACAGTGTTTCTTGGGTTTATTTCCTAACATTTTAACATCAAGTAGTTTTGACAGTGTTTCTTGGGTTCATTTCCTAACATTTTAACATCAAATAGTGCAAGTAATTAAGTACAATTTTTGGATAATTAGTTCTGTTACGTGGTAAATTATAAGCCAAACAGGCGAGTTTGGCCTTAAAAACAAGAATGTTTTCTGTCGAAGAACAGTGATTTTATTTGCCATAGCTCTGCGAAATTTAATTTAATCATAACGAAAAAAAAAAATATATAAATCATTGACTTTAAAGCAATATTAAATAATTTTAAGTTGCTCAAATATATATATATATATATATATATATATATATATATATATATATATATATATATATATATATATATAGGGAGATACCACTTCTAGAAATGTCCTGGGGACCCTCATTCTCAGAGAAAAGAATAAACTTGCTATATATTATTTATTTTCCCAAGAGGTATTGTGCATACGTAATGTTCAAACTAATGTGGTACATTATATTATATTCCCTCACTGACATGAACACAAAATGGCACTTGGAAAACTAATGTTTCTCTCGTTCATAGTAGTGACCTTTATCCACCTGATTGAGTTTAATTGTTGTGATGTGTTATCTTTATGCGCTTTGCTCCGTATCACAGCATTAATATATTTCGTTTGTTGCAGGAGTGAGAGGAGCAGCACTGGAGTGGAGGACAGGCCACGACTACCAGACATGTCCTGTCGTCGCTAGTATCCCCATCTAGCGGCTGCTACGCAAACTCTTCTCTCAAACATTCCTTCTAAACTCCGCACCATATAATATAGATTTAACATTTCCCTGCAATTTGGCTAAGTTATCATTAAGAGAAAGCATACAAAGAAAGAGTTTCAAAGTATATAATTGATCTTGAGTCTCGGAAGGTGAAGTTAAGCGTCGGAAATGATGTATTAAAGGAGGGAGTTTGGAGCACGCCAGAGAGTCAATCACAAACTGTCACCAGCATACATTCCCTCAAAACTCTGCACCATAATATAAGGAATTTGATACCTTCCCATCATTCTATTTTGTTTTATTATTAAGCGAAATCATTTAGAAGTAAAGTTCCAAGATTCAATAATTATCTTAAGTATCGGAAGGAAAGGTTAAGCGTCGGAAATGAAGTACTAGAGGAAGGAGTTTGGAGCACGCCAGGGAGTCCATAGCAGCCTATCAGGCTCCAACCATAGGGATCATGTCTTCAGTGGTGCCGGAGTTGTTGTTGTGGGACCAGTCTGTGAACAACTCGTGTGGGGGAAGGATGGAGTGCGAGATGCTGTACGAGTTGGGGCCGCCGCCCAATATGATACTCAATATTCCTCCTCCTCCTATACCACCTTTCATGGAAGACTTTGTGGCTAGACTCGCCGCAGAAGGGATAGATATTCACCAAGATAGTGGCTTCCCAGAGGAAGAGAAGACATGTAGTCTGTGCCATTGGGCTAATGGGAATGGCGTTGGATATGTTGAATTAGCACAGAAAGGTGAGTGAAAAAGTTTACCATTTTGTAATTTTAATGTTTATTATATCTAATGTTTATTTTTTTGCGTGTCAACGAGAATGATGTCTTAACAGGTACTTCAGATGTCAAAGCTTGTTTCACACGTCAAAGCTTGCTTCACATGTCAAAGCTTGCTTCATATTTCAAAGCTTGCATCACATGTCAAAGCTTGCTTCACGCGTCAAAACTTGCTTCACACGTCAATTCTTGCTTCACATGTCAAAGCTTGCTTCACACGTCAGAGCTTGCTTCACTCTTCAAAACTTGTTTCTTATGATTAAGCTTGCGTCACATGTCACATCTCTTAACACGTCAAAGTTTACTTCACCTGTCAAAGCATGCCTCAGACGTCAAAGCTTGGTAACACGTGAAAGCTTACCTAAGACGTCAAAGCATGACTTGCTTCACACGCCAAAGCATGACTCTTGCTTCACACGTCAGAGTATGCTTCAGAAGTCAAAGCATGCTATTCATTTCTAAGTATGCTTCATGTCAAAGTATGCTTCTTGTCAAAGCATGTTTCGGACGTCAAAGTATTCTTCATGTCGAAGCTTTCTTCAGACGTCAAAACATGCCTGACCTGACATAAAGCGTGTTTCAGACATCAAAACATCTCTCGGACATCAAAACATGCCTCGGACATCAATACATGTCTCAGACATCAAAACATGCCTCAGATATCAAAACATGCCTCAGACATCAATATATGTCTCAGATATCAAAACATGCCTCAGACATCAAAACATGCCTCAGACATCAAAACATGTCTCGGACATCAAAACATGCCTCAGACATCAAAACATGTCTCAGACATCAAAACATGCCTCAGATATCAAAACATGCCTCAGACATCAAAACATGCCTCAGACATCAAAACATGCCTCAGACATTAAAACATGCCTCAGACATCAAAACATGTCTCGGACATCAAAACATGCCTCAGACATCGAAACATATCTCAGACATCAAAACATGCCTCAGATATCAAAACATGCCGCGGGGGCGTTGATCCCCGGAATAACCTCCAGGTAACCTCCAGACATCAAAACATATCTCAGACATCAAAAGATGCCTCAGACATCAAAACATGCCTCAGACATCAAAACATGCTTCCGACATCAATACATGCCTCAGACATCAAAACATGTCTCTGACATCAAAACATGCCTCAGACATCAAAACATGTCTCAGACATCAAAACATGCCTCAGATATCAAAACATGCCTCAGACATCAAAACATGTCTCAGATATCAAAACATGTCTCAGACATCAAAACATGCCTCAGACATCAAAACATGCCTCAGATATCAAAACATGCCTCAGACATCAAAACATGCCTCAGACATCAAAACATGTCTCGGACATCAAAACATGTCTCAGACATCAAAACATGCCTCAGATATCAAAACATGCCTCAGACATCAAAACATGTCTCAGATATCAAAACATGCCTCAGACATCAAAACATGTCTCGGACATCAAAACATGCCTCAGACATCAAAACATGTCTCAGACATCAAAACATGCCTAAGATATCAAAACATGCCGCGGGGGCGTTGATCCCCGGAATAACCTCCAGGTAACCTCCAGACATCAAAACATGTCTCAGACATCAAAACATGCCTCAGACATCAAAACATGCCTCAGACATCAAAACATGTCTCAGATATCAAAACATACCTCAGACATCAAAACATGCCTCAGACATCAAAACATGCCTCAGACATCAAAACATGCCTCAGACATCAAAACATGTCTCAGACATCAAAACATACCTCAAACATCAAAACATGTCTCGGACATCAAAACAATGCCTCAGACATCAAAACATGTCTCAGACATCAAAACATGCCTCAGATATCAAAACATGCCTCAGACATCAAAACGTGTCTCAGATATCAAAACGTGCCTCAGACATCAAAACATGCCTCAGACATCAAAACATGCCTCAGACATCAAAACATGCCTCAGACATCAAAACATGCCTCAGACATCAAAACATGCCTCAGACATCAAAACATGCTTCGGACATCAATACATGCCTCAGACATCAAAACATGCCTCAGACATCAAAACATGTCTCAGACATCAAAACATACCTCAGATATCAAAACATGCCTCAGGCATCAAAACATGCCTCAGACATCAAAACATGCCTCAGGCATCAAAACATGCCTCAGACATCAAAACATGTCTCAGACATCAAAACATGTCTCAGACATCAAAACATGCCTCAGACATCAAAACATACCTCAGATATCAAAACATATCTCAGACATCAAAACATACCTCAGACATCAAAACATGTCTCAGACATCAAAACATGCCTCAGACATCAAAACATGTCTTAGACTTCAAAACATGTCTCAGACATCAAAACATGCCTCAGACATCAAAACATGGCTCAGACATCAAAACATGTCTCAGACTTCAAAACATGTCTCAGACATCAAAACATGTCTCAGACTTCAAAACATGCCTCAGACATCAAAATATGCCTCAGACATCAAAACATTCCTCAGACATCAAAACATTCCTCAGACATTAAAACATGCCTCAGACATCAAAACATGCCTCAGACATCAAAACATGCCTCAGACATCAAAACATGTCTCAGACATCAAAACATGCCTCAGACATCAAAACATGTCTCAGACATCAAAGCATGTCTTAGACATCAAAACATGTCTTAGACATCAAAACATGCCTCAGACATCAAAACATACCTCAGACGTCAAAACATGCCTCAGACATCAAAACATGTCTCAGACATCAAAACATTCCTCAGACATCAAAACGTGCCTCAGACATCAAAACATGTCTCAGACATCAAAACATGTCTCAGACATCAAAACATACCTCAGACATCAAAACATGTCTCAGACATCAAAACATGCCTCAGACATCAAAACATGTCTCAGACATCAAAACATGTCTCAGACATCAAAACATGCCTCAGACATCAAAACATGCCTCAGACATCAAAACATGTCTCAGACATCAAAACATTCCTCAGACATCAAAACATTCCTCAGACATCAAAACATGCCTCAGACATCAAAACATGCCTCAGACATCAAAACATGTCTCAGACATCAAAACATGTCTTAGACATCAAAACATGTCTTAGACATCAAAACATGCCTCAGACATCAAAACATGCCTCAGACATCAAAACATGCCTCAGACATCAAAACATGCATCAGACATCAAAACATGTCTCAGACATCAAAACATGTCTCAGACATCAAAACATGTCTCAGACATCAAAACATACCTCAGACATCAAAACATGCCTCAGACATCAAAACATGCCTCAGACATCAAAACATGTCTCAGACAATAAAACATGTCTCAGACATCAAAACATGCCTCAGACATCAAAACATGCCTCAGACATCAAAACATGTCTCAGACATCAAAACATGCCTCAGACATCAAATGTCTCAGACATCAAAACATGCCTCAGACATCAAAACATGCCTCAGGCATCAAAACATGCCTCAGACATCAAAACATGTCTCAGACATCAAAACATGTCTCAGACATCAAAACATGCCTCAGGCATCATAACATGCCTCAGACATCAAAACATGCCTCAGACATCAAAACATGTCTCAGACATCAAAACATGTCTCAGACATCAAAACATGTCTCAGACATCAAAACATGCCTCAGGCATCATAACATGCCTCAGACATCAAAACATGCCTCAGACATCAAAACATGCCTCAGACATCAAAACATGTCTCAGACATCAAAACATGCCTCAGACATCAAATGTCTCAGACATCAAAACATGTCTCAGACATCAAAACATGCCTCAGACATCAAAACATGCCTCAGACATCAAAACATGCCGCGGGGGCGTTGACCCCCGGAACTCTCTCCAGGTCTCCAGGTATACTCGACACTTCTACGTTACTACGACGGTCATGACGGACGATACAGTAGTAATACTGAAATTAATTTTTTCATTGTGTGGAACAGTGGAAAAAAAGTAAAGTGGAATTAAAATATATAAAATAATGATAAAAAATATGTGAAATGTCAGAAAAAAATGCTTGGAATTTAGTGTTGACATGATTTATATGTGAAAATTATTTAATAAAGATGGTGATTATTAATTAATGGTGAATATAAACCATGAATATTAACTAAATATTAGCCATGAATACTAATTTTCATAATTATATTCAGTTAGCTGAATATTAACAATGAATATTAACCCTGAATATATACTGTGAGTATTAACCTTAAATATTAATTGAAAAGTGATTGTGACATATTTGTTAACAAAAGAGATGAGGTACAAAAAAAAGTGGTTATTGTTCCTTTTATTAAAAAAATTAAAAATGTTTCTTGACTGATTTTTCTAGTGACAAGTGAATACAACAGTGTAACAGTGGTACCGTTACAACAGTGTAACAGTGGTACCGTTACTACAGTGTAACTGGTACCGTTACAACAGTGTAGCAGTGGTACCGTTACAACAGTGTAACAGTGTTACCGTTACAACAGTGTAGCAGTGGTACCGTTACAACAGTGTAGCAGTGGTACCGTTACAAGTGTGACAGTGGTACCGTTACAAGTGTAACAGTGGTACCGTGACAACAGTGTGACAGTGGTACCGTGACAACAGTGTGACAGCAGTACTGTCACATCAGTCATGTTATATAGTGCTGACGGTAACAGTGGAACAACGGTACCGTGATAAGTGGAACAATATTATCGTAAAAGTGGAACAAAGGTACATTAACCGTGGAACAGTGACTCACGAATTCAGTGAAAGAACGGTATCGTAACATTTATGAAGCAGTAATGGTGTGACATCTGTGGAACAATACAGTAACATCTGTGGAATACTACTATGGCTTATGGAACAATGCCGTAACATCTGTGGAACAACGGTATTGTGACATCAATGGAAAAACGGTATTGTGACATCAATGGAATATTGGTATTGTGACATCAGTGGAAA